AAACAGAGTGAGGAAATGTAGTTAGGTGAAAAAAGAGGAAAAAAAAAATTGAGTGGAAATAGATGTGTTTTGTTAGAGAACAAAAGAGTGACCCATGTTCGTGGCACAGCAGTAACATGCTAAGAAGTTTTGTGTCACCTCCATTGGGCTGCTTTGAGCGCTTTTGATCCATCAACAGCATACAAAATTAAAAAAAAAAAAAAGAGGAAATTATGAAAATTTTCAAACAAATTGCACAATATTACAAAATGATGAAAAGAGATTAAAACCTCCTGCACTGAGGATAAAATTGCCTGTGGTTTCGATTATATACTGAACCTTTTAGATAATTTGTATAATTTTTTCATTAAAATCAATTACATGTGGTGTTAATTATGTTTTACATTTATATAATTGTAATGTGTAATAATTACTTATAATGAATGAGATGTATAATAAGTGAAATGTTTTAGAAAAAAATATTATGATTAGGTGTTATTTGTCATAATTAATATATTTACTCAGTAGAAATATGTTTTATTTTATTTTTTTCTTTTTGCATATATAGTAATATCCAATTTCGTTTAAGTAATTAATAAAATATATAAGATATTACATAAAAAGAAGAAAAAAAAATCATTGTCAAACAGCTAACTTGTCAAACATATTCTTGTTCAAGGTCAATAATGGCGAAACCTTAGTCTTCTACTACGTCTTTTTCTCATGAACATACTCAAAGTTGCCCAAATGACCTACCTTAAGTTTGCGTGGTGTGTGAATATACTTGAAGAGAGAGTACTCTTAGGAATCATTAGAATCTGTTTACAGTTCTCAGTAATATAATATTATTCTCATATTTTCCCATAACTTAATACAATAACATAATTCAGTTTCTCTCCACATGCGTGTCTCTCTCTTTTCCCTTGGGGTTCATAGGAAAACAACTGCTTTTATTACGAAAAACATGACACCAAGGATGGTGGTTGGTTTGGGTTGTGGGATGAGTTGATACATCAGCTAAACTATGTCTGCTCAAACAAATTTGAGATTAATGTTGTGATAGAAGTCAGAAAGGGTGACGTTAGCTTGGGTGCCACCATTATTCTTAATTACATGCTCGAAAAGTTTGGGAAGTGGATTGGAAGTAAGGGTGGGTAAAAAGTCACCCACGTGTGCTTTAAACCTGAATAACCCAAATCAAATTGGGGAAAATTGAATTGCTAAACTCGGCTCAATGAATAATCTGGTTAGGAAAAACAAGTTCGTGTGGTTTTAGGTAATCAGGTTCATTTTAAATTTGGATAACCATTTGTACCTTACCCGATGAAATATATCAATTGTACGTGTAAAAATCTTGCTTAACCGATTACCCCTTTTTCTCGAGTCGTGTGCCATTGTTTACCACCACAAACTCCCTTCTCCATTTTCTCGCTCACTCGCGACACCCATGACTGTTGTTGCTTGCTAGGAGCTATTGGCTAGCTCCCAATGTCGGCAGCGACTAGAAGAAATCACTCTTCGAACATGATTGATTAATTCATTTAGTTAAATCTCAGACTTATATGTGCGGCTTCTGAGAACGTGAGAAGAGAAAATTATATGTTAGATTATTATTTTTCCTTACATAATAGGATAATCTTTACTTTTAAGTCATCTAAAATCTTTTTTTTTCTTTTACTTACACTCTTATTTTTGAAAAAAATATTATTATTATTTTCTCTAAATTTAAAAAAGTATTATAAATTTTTTATAGTAAAATTTAATTATTGTCTATTATTTGTTTTTTTTTTCTCATCTTTTATTTTAATTGTGAATTCTTATGCGAGATATTCGATACCTAACGATGATATCGAGTGCAGCGATCCAGATGATTAGTTTCTTACTTATGCAGAAAAGAGTTATTATAGTTACTGAATAAATACCTAATAGTGGTATCAGAGTTTATATAAAGTGTGGTAGTGTGATGGTGCATGTTTATGAAAAGTTCTAGAAAGGAAATACTTAATATTTAAGTGTGTCTATTAATATCCTACCTTTCTTTTATGTGAGCTTACTTGGTGTACTAGTTATGACCTACTTCTCTTTCCTTTCCTGAGAGCTTACGAGCTTACTTTGTATACTAGTTACAACCTTACCCTCTTTCCTTTCTATAAGAGCTTACAAGTTTACCAGATATACTAGTTACGGTTTACGCTGTAGTTCAATTATGACAAGGAAAGACATTTAAGTGTGTCTATTAGTGATCTACCTCTCTTTCCCGGGAGCTTGGTGTACTAGTTATGGTTTACGCTGTTGTTCCAGTAGACAATACTATTCATGGTAAAAGATGCATAAGTCGGTTAAAACCATGACAACAAAATATGAGATGAAGAAGTTTAATGAGAATAATTTCTCATTGTTGAAACTGAAGATGAAGACAATTTTGAGAAAAGTGTAGAAACAATTGGAAAAAGATCGTGTGCATCAAAGATTGAAGGTGGGAAGAAATTAACAACAAAGCTATAATAATTTTGTAGAGAAGGGTACAATGAAGGAGATTTGGGAGTCTCTTGTCAAATTATATTAGGAGGAAACACATATTGGACTTGGTTTATTTTGATGTGTTGGAATTGCCGGATTATGAGTGTATCACATCAAGAAGAAGTATGTGTTTTCAAAGTTCGGGAAAGTCAATTAGATTATGCTAACAATATGAATGTGTATTTATGTGAATCCCACTATTCATAAGGTTATTGTTAGCAAAGTTCGGGAAAGACAAATTTTTGGACTATGCTAACAATGTGAAGGAGTATTTCTTGTGGATCTCACTATCCACACAGTTGTTGTTAGCGGTGATACAAATATTATTTTTCTTCAAGGTAAACTTAGAGAAAGGATTGGTGTACTCCAACCAAAAGACTTAAAGAAAAAGGAAACTTGGTTTGCATGTTGACCAAATCTCTGTACGATTTAAATTGGTGTCCAGGTGTTGTACAAGAGATTTGATTTTTCATTATTAGCCTTGATTACAATAGACTAAGTTCATACTATTGTACCTATTATAATAGATTTGATGAAAATGATTTTATCATTTTGTCTTTGTATGTGGATGACATATTGGTGGTAGGCTCCAACAAAGTTCAAATCTAAGCTTTGAAGACACAATTGACTATAAAGTTTGATATGAAGAATTAGGGATCAATAAACAAGATTTTAGGGATGCAAATTCACCAGGACATAAAAGATAGGAAGGTTTGACTTTATCAGAATAATTACTTACTGAAGGTCTTGCAGTGCTTCAACATGCAAGGGTGTAAGCCAATTTTTACCCCATTTTCTATCAAGTTATTCTCAAGTATAAGTCATAACAATAAAGCAGAGATGATGGAAATGTCTTGAGCATTGTATGTGTCGATGGTGGGAAGTCTTATGAATACTATGATCGGTACTAGACTAGACATTGCTCACGTCGACGGTGGGAAGTCTTATGAATACCATGATCAGTACAAGACTAGATATTGCACACACAGTGTAAGCGGTTAATAGATCAATGACAAATTGTAGTGGAGAGCATGAATATTATCAAGAGAATTCTTATCAAAGGATCCTTGGATATTATATTATGTTTCGGAGGATCAAAATTAGTTGTCCGATACTATGTTTGTTCAGGTTTTACAGCTGATCTTAATAAATTTACCTTTGTTGGAGAGACATAACTGATTATCCAAGGAATTCTTATCAAAGGAATCTTGGATGTTGTATTAGGTTTTGAAGGATCAAAACTAGTTGTCAGATGTTATGCTTGTTCAGGTTTTGCAGGTGATCTTGATGAGTTTACCTTTGTTGGAGATACAATAACTAGTTATCCAAGTTATAAGATGTTGTAACTCTGTTTATTACTTAAACTGAGTACATGACAACCACCCAGACATGTAAGGAAACTATTTGGATTAAGAGGATAATGGAGGAATTCGGGCACAAGCAACAACAAATGATTGTGTATTATAACAGTTAGAGTGGCTTGCATATTATAAGGAATCCTATCTCGTTTCGGGATAATACAAGAAAAACCTAGCAGATGTTATGACAGTTGGTTAACAATGTTATGACAATTGGTTACCAATGTTATGACAATCTGTTAGCAGTGAAAAGTTTACATAGAAGTGATTATATTGAAGGTCTATTGCAATAACAACATAGTAGAAATAATAATGTATTGTGAATATTTGATTAATTTAATCAAAATCTTCAAGTGGGAGATTGTGAGAAGAAAAGTCTCATATCACGAAAATTATATGTTGATGTCTCTTATAAAAGGAACACAATGTCTAACTTATAAATCACCTTAAATATCTTTTTTCTCCTTTCTACTAGTGTATTGCATAATAGTTAAGTTTTCTTATTTATGAGAGAAAATATTATTATTATTTTTTTCTTTAATTTGAAAAAGATATTGTAATTCTTTTGATAATAAAATTTTATTATTATATATTATTAATAATAATATTATTTTTTTCTTTAATTTGAAAAAGATATTATAATTCTTTTGATAATAAAATTTTATTATTATATATTATTAATAATAATAATATTATTTTTTTCTTTAATTTGAAAAAGATATTGTAATTCTTTTGATAATAAAATTTTATTATTATATATTATTAATTTTTTTTTAGAATTGATTTTAGTTGTAAATTATTGTACCGATACTCTACTCTCAACACGCCAATTGCATTCTTGTTCTTGTATACGAGGTGGCCTTGTTATCACGCTATTATTTCATTATCTTACTGCATGCATAATCACTAAGATATATACATAAACGAAAAACTAGTACATGAAATTAAGAATAACGTCAATTCCCTCTTACAAAAAAAGCAACATCACTATTTTAGACAATTACAACAATGTCATCTTCCATGACACAAAAACAAGCCTGTAATCTGCAAAAGCTACAAGCGAAAGACATTTATTGAAGACAATCTGGAACCATCTGATGAATCCTTTTAGTTTTTTGAATGTTTTTGAAAAAAGAAACCAAGTCATTTCCTTGGATCTAATAGATGGTCAGGAACCATGCTACATGAAACTAATTGCCAACTGAACTCATTTCCCCTTTTAAGTGAAACAAGGCTTTCCATGTATCTAGCCGCTCTTAACGACCCGTTTTTTCCATGTACTTGAAGATCCTTCATTTGTTCCGTCTCAGGTTCACAGTCGTGCCACACCAATCCCTCGTCGCGGCTGCTCCAAAGAAATTGATTGCTCCCATAAAACCCCACAAGCTTGTGAATCTCTTCTATGGGTTCAACACTGTATTTCCTAACCCAAGACCCTTCGTCCCAATAATCCTTCATTACCCAAACGTCAAAGGGCTTCTTTTGTCCCCTTACAGGATAAACAATGACACCAATAGTAGCAGATTCGTTAAAGGGTGCAAGAGTTGCAAATTCTTCCTTTGCAGAACCACGTATTCTTGGTACCTTTATCTTCCTGAAGGATTCACTAACCATGTCAAATGCTAGAACACAATCTTCTCTTCTTCCTGAGTCATCAACATAGCCCCACCAGTGGCAACAATTGTTAACATATGTATAAACCCAAGAAGAACTCCAAATTTCAATTGGAAATGGGATAGCAGCACCAAGTTTTCTCCAAGAGTTGTGATTAAGGCTGTACAAGTCAGCTGTCCAGTGCCCAGGTTTTCTTTCATTTGTTTCCTTCGACCAAATGTCCCTTATCACAACAACTTTGTAGTCATTAGTTTTGGAGTCAAAGCCAAACCCAGAATGGTCACTCAAAGAATAAGTCTTGCTGGAACCGCTTAAATAGAATTCAGGCAAAGCCTTAAACTGTCTCAAAGAAGGGTTAATCACAACATTTGGATTGCCTTCAAGGAAGTATATGCCATTGCAAGGACCCGAGATTTCAGACCAGTACTTGTGTTCAGAGTTGTATTCAGAAGGGTTCAAAACATCAGAAGAAACAAGGTTTTTTGAATCATTTGCATTCCAAGAAAGAAGAGAAATAGAAGTTTTAAGATTTGAAAGAAAGGGTCTGCGAATGACTAAGAGATGCTTCTCTAGGCTTTGAAGACTGTTGTGAACAACATAGTAATTGGAGATAAAATGAGGATCAGTTAAGAGATCGAACCAGGACTTGCACACGCGTTTGCATTTCAGCAAGTCTTTCGCCGGCAACCTTGAGAGGATGTTGGATACCAATTCTCGAGGCAAATATTGCTCCATGCTCATCTTCTCTTGTTTTGTTCCTTCCTCTCTTCTCGTGGTTAATATTAAGATGGGAAGTTTCATGATTTTGGTTTGGAGGATGACAAAAGATTGAAATAGAAAAGAGCAAAAAAGGCAAACGGAGGAAAACATGGCTATGGCCATTGGCCTTATCGAGGTATGGCTATAAATCACTTCGTAATTTTCTTATGAAATGGAAAAAGCAGGTTGTCTTCAGAATTAGAATCCTACTTATATGAAGTAAAGTTACTGGAAAAAGGCTGAGACACACCCCAATCCTACAAGCATTTAATTAACATCTTAAAAATAATAATTCTTTATCGATTATTTGAAATACATAAATAATAATATAAAAAATCTAAAAGTGAATGTTAAAAGAGTGTTGGATAAATAAGTATATGATTATCAAAATTATTACGGCTAGTATTTTGGTGATAAAGTAAGATTTAACAAATATATTTTTTTTCATAAAAAACAAACTTATTATTATTATAATAGCAATAATAATTTTTATGTTATATTTTTATTATTATATTATTATAAAGCATTATATAGTTATATATAATAATATTTTTATATTATATTTTTAATATTATATTATTATAAAAGAATTATCAAGTTATATGTGTATAAGAAGTAGGCTATGAAAAATGTTATTTACCTAATATTTAATGGCGGTGGGTTCCACCTGTTCCTAGAGGGTGGGTAAAGAAAGAGAGATAGGTTGGTTTATCACGCGCAAATTTAACACACCAAAAAGTTCAATATTTGCAGCAATAATTAGGTAAAATTAAAATGTAGTTGCATATTTGATATTGCATACCAGTACGGGTTTACTTGAATGCCGAGAGATTTGTGTGGATGATTCCTTAACACTTTCAAGAAAGATAAATAGAAGCAAATAAAATAAAATTGTTTTTTTTAATAAATTAAAATTAATTTATCCACACATCAAAAATAAAAATTTAAAACCTTCTATAAATTAGTTTATATATAGACTAATTTTAATGTATAAAAAAGTTACTATTATTTTATTTATTTTCTCTTAAAAAGAATCCTTATTAAAGAATTATATTAAACGAATGAGAATGAATTATATCTTATTTTCTAATTCTAACCCTTTATGCATGAAAAAAAAACACTACATAATAGGTTAGATTTTTTTCTTTTAATTTCTCTCATGATAATGCTGCTATGGTTTGCATATCTCAACATAATTAAGAGTTTGCTAATTGTCAATAAAAATATATCCATATTTTTTTTATTATGACTTTTATGTAACTAAAAAAATAATTATCTGGTATTTGAAACGAAATTTATTGTAAATATAAGATTAAAATAATTAAACATAAGAAAATTTAACATTTAAGATAATATTTTATTTCATTTGTGTGTAGATTTGAGTGAGCGAGCGAAGGAGAAGTCAGAAGCTTAGAGTTTATGCATCTACCAAAAAAATAATCGCTTTGGAGCGGTTGCTATTCCGTACAAAACACTGTGCCAGACCCTACCATCTACTATTTCATTTTTCCTTGTGCTTTGACTTTAAAAAAAAATATAGCAAACCTACACACATCTTATCTTTAGTTTTTGAACCACAACCTTATATTTTTCGCCCGTACATGAGATCAATAGTTGCTGTCTTTTTAAAAAGAACATGCTTGTAATAAGGCTTCTTTGCAAGCTTTTTGTACATTAAAATTTACTAATATACAATTAAAAAAGAAAAGAAAATTACTACTAATTAAATCATATATAATTTAAATTTAACTTATTAAAAATATTTTATTTAATAAAAAGTATTTAAACACAGATAAACTTTGCAGGGAGACCTCTAATCCAAACTTTTGAAAAGTGGAAAAAGCAAGTCGTTCCTCTGAGTGTCGATGGGAAAACCCAGTCCTCTTTTGTTGAAATGATGAAAAATTGAATAAGTGATGAAAAGGAGATAGAGATATAAAATAAAATTGTTTAAATAAGGTGAAAAAAATAAAATGAATTAAATAAATTATTTATTATTAATAATTTTATTTATTTAATATTATTATTATTATTATTATTATTATTATTATAATCTATATTATATATAAATAATTTGTTTATAATTAATTTTTTGTCATCGAAAAAAATATGCAAATGAATAAAAAAAGAATATGGATATATTAAAGAGTGAAAAAAGAAAAATATATTTAAAAAAAGGTGAATACATTTAAAAAGTAGAGAGAGAAAAAATAATTTAAACAATTAATAATAAAAAAAATGAACATGCAATAATAATAATACAAAATAAAATAAAAAAATTTATAATATAGTAAATATCTCAATGACATAATTGATTGCGTGTTTTTTTATCTAATTAGAAAAGAAGATGTACTAAAAATTTTGCATTTGTTGGGTGTTTTAGTATTTCATGATTGGAAACAAAGAGGGAACGGTGAAAATATAAGTGTTTTGCTACTTTTGAATGGTCTACTTTGAATAGCCAGTTGCTTGCTTCATACAATTCAACATTTCGCACAAAGCTTGACCCCAACGCAACCGACCATTAATTTCATTTATTTTTACTATTCACTTTCACAAAAATAAAGCATGCCTACCAATAATAGTGTTCACGTTATACTATTAAGTTAGATTATATATATATATATACAAAAGTTTGTATTCATTTTAATTAATAATATATAAAGATGTATTTAATACACACTAATTTTTATTAGTATAAGATTACATTACAAAATTTTAATTATATCTATATATAAATTTAATTTCTAATGTAACCTAGAAGATTATATTTCTGTAGAAATATCATAATTTATACATTATTCATTAAATATAACATATTGTTTTTTTTATATGCTTCACTTTTGTCAAATAATATTTATATAATTAAATATTTTTTAGAAGATTAATATTATATTTCAAATTTATAAACTCAAAATTTGTATGATATTGAAATTCATATTGTGATAACTACTTTTTGAGTATTTATATCATTATAATTTTATATTTTTTGAGTATCTATATTATTATAATTTTTTTACATCCAAAGTAAAATATTGATAAGTCCACTTGTTTTCACGTATATCTCTTGTAATCTTATGATGAGATTTATATTATGTTCCAAATTTATAAACTAAAATTTGTGACATTGAAATGCATATTGTACTATATACTTTTTGAGTATCTATATAATGATATAGAATAAAACTATTGATAAGTCCACTGTTTTGATTGTAATATTAAGACATAACTTATTATAAGATACATAAAAGCTTATATAAAATCTACAGAATTTCTATTATAAGATACATAAAAAAATTTAGTTTTACTTTATAGAATTTTAAAATCAACTAAACTTATTTCTTTTATAAAATTCTAATTGTTATGAATGCGCGTGTGTAACACTTATTATTTTTATCTTTTAAAACATATAATTTAGTCATATATTTTAATTTGTAATTTTATATCTTGATTTCATATAAACTCATAATATGGTAATTTATTTATATTTTTATCCAAGCTGTAATTTTTTTTTATGATATATTTGAGTTCAACTTACGTACATTAAATGTTATCAACATGTAGTTATAGTTTAGTTTGGATTAAAACACTTTCTTCCTACCTCCTTCGCTATTTTGACTTAAAACATATAATTCATATTATTATTATTGGAATTCAGTTTGGCTTAAAAGCAATTTCTTCCTACCTTATCTTCTTCACTATTTTGACTTAAAAAAAAGAAAAAACATGAAAGAGATGCACAAAATAACAAAGTTTCTATTATAGTATATATTTCTAGTAAGTTCATATTATAGGTGTTTCTAGCAATAGTTTTCCTTTTCCCAAGTTATTGACTACAACGGTCCAACTATCTCATTTTGTTTTGAATATTTACTTTAATAAAAATGAAGTAAGTAATAAAGTTCCTATCTGTAGCATATTTATAGAAAATACTATTTTTTATTTTATTTTTATTATATTTATATTTAGAACAAGTTGTGGAGTGATATCTCGTCCTACCGAATTTTAAGCGCCACAAAACTCTGCGTTACTCACTGTGCTTTTCCTTTCTTTTTTTCTCATCGTTAATGTTTTGATTGAATTTGAAATGAAATACAAAATAAAAATAATAAAAAATAAATGAATTGTATAAAACATTTCTCTCTAATAACTTTTTTCTTCACTTTTGTTTCTTAATAGTTTTTACTTTATGACCTGCGTTCCCATTCTCTACATCATATGTGATTAAAATCATATTCATTATTATAGTAAAAATTAAAAATGAAGAAATAAGAGACAACATTTAAATAACTTTTTGAAAGTATGCAAAAACTCATGTGACAAAAAGTAACGATTACTTGTGTATAAACAACCCAAAAGTAATATATATATATATATATATATATATATATATATATATATATATATATATATATATATAATATAATATAATATAATATATAATATTTTTATCAATGATTAAAGTTTTAATATTTTCATTCTTCTAATTTTTTTTATTCAAGAGTTATATTGTTGACTATTTAAGTGAATTGGAAGAATATAATTTTTAAAAGTAATTATGATATTGAACAATGATAAAAATATATTGAAAAAATAATATAAAAGTTAAGATCAATTTTTGTTTTTTTATTGTGATAACCCTCTTTCCATGGGTTGAAAGGTATATAAATTAATGTAAAAAGTAATTTATGCAAAAAGTAAGGAATACACATCTAAATTAAGAGTGTCAACAATTTCATCTAATTTATACATGTTGATTTATTATAGGTTTGGTTGAGTTGAAATAGACCTCGTTTAAATTAGGTGTCAAAATGAGTCTATTTATTTCATACAAGTTGGTTTAAAATGGATAAAGCTAAAATAAATAAGTTTAAGACTCACTTTATGACGGGTTAGAGATTTCATAACCACCTCAACCTATTAAGAGTTGATGAGTTAATTCACTAACCCATTTTTACTTCACAACAAACATGACGGATGCAGAAGACATCATGCATATGATAGATAAGACAAATGTGGTAGACATAAGAGATGTGGTAGACACAACAAACATGCTAGATGCAATAGACGTGATAGTTGCAACAATTATGATGAATGCAAAGGACATGACGGATGTGATGAATGCAGTAAACACAATGGACACAACAAATAGGCAAGTAGAACAAACTTAATAACATAATGACCTTGAGTTACGATAATTCTGTTGTAGTAACTTAGATACAACATAGATGAAATATCAATTCACTTTGTGTATTATAATTATTTTTTAAAATTTAAAATGTATTATGAGTGGTCAATCCACTAAAAGTTGACTTAAACTCATTTAAGTGAGTCTAATTCATTTTGATTCAAAATCAATAAAAAAAAGTAAATATAACCCGACTCAAATCTGTAGTGAGTCAGGTTGACTCATATGTTAGAACTCATATTGACAATACTAATTTGAACTCTACTATTTTATAAAAGTAAAAATACATATCATATTCCTCTTAAACTATGAACAACTCAAATCGGTATTATTTTATCCTTCACATGAAACTCTCTTCTATCAACATAATATGTTTCTTTTATTGAATTTCTCTTTAATTGTAAGTGTACAAGATTTTATACTGTGTCTCCATTAAAAGATATTCAATTAAAGCCCAACTAAAGAGGACTTTATGATAATGCAAACAAGTAGAGCACATGCATGAGCAAGAAAAACATGTATATACATAAGCATAAGCAAGAAAGTGTTACAAAGTTTTAAACTTTCAAATTTAATGAAAAAAATTAACTAGACAAATTTTCAATTAATGGTGGAAATAAAGACAAATTTTTAGATCTTTAATTTGAATTTCAATTTTGAAAATTCTCTCATTTTTAATGTGTTTAGATATGCACCTTGGCTACAAATAATCACTTTTTGAAATATATTTTTACTTGATAAAAATTCTTGGTAAGTATATAAGAGTATTATTCTTTTGAGAGTGTGATTTTCTAACTTAGTGTCTTGAATTTTAATAATTCACCTATTCTATATCTTCTTTTATTTTATATTATCTCGTTGTTTCTTTAAAGTTCTTGTATATTATTGTGATCTTATATTTTATTTTATATCTTATGTTCATCTTACATCTATGACTTAAATATAATACTTATCTTATTCTTAAACTACTAAAAATGAGGATTTTTTCATCAATTATTTTTGGCATTTTACCTCGATTATAGAACCGTTATATATGTCACAAATGTATAAAGTTATAACTTTTAATATGGATGATCAACTAATATAGAAAAATGATATATTACATTAATTATTTATCTAATCAATATAATATCTCTCTTTAAAAAAGATGAAGACCAACTCATAGTGAGTCAACTCATGCTAGTCGAAATTACTCACTTTGACACCCTAATACTAATGATGTTGATGATCATGTAAAGAAATATTCGCTAAACCTAAAATATGAAGGAAGATATGCATATTATCTCAAAGATATGATTTATTAGGATGATCAAGCATAAGTCACCAAGATATGGTAGAAAAAACTAGAGATCAAAACGAAGAATGTGTTTAAAAAGGTGCTCTCCAAGTATAAAAAAATAAAATATGAAAAGAAACGAATAGCAAAACCTTGTAAGGGGAGTAGAAAATTTAGCTTAATTGATTTGAAAATACATTTAAGGAATGATAGAGGTTTAAAGTAACATCGTTTTGATAAATCAACCTTGATCACGATTGTTGAACCCTAGGTGGACATTAGAAATTTTCCTCCAAGGTTTTGGTCTTCTCTAGAATACAAGGTGTTTGTTATAAACTCTAGAGGAAACTTGTTTTCTAAATTGTGGTTTATAAGCACAGTTGGTGTCTTGCTATAATTACTAAGTCATCGTTGCCTATTATATTTGTTGCACGAAAAAAGATTTTATGAGATATATGAGTTCATGAAAATAAGCTAATATTGGATCTTGATTTGCTCATGGTGCTAGATCACATGAAAAGATTGAAAGAAGTAAACATAATAGAATTTTGTGCAATGACTTTCAACATTGGGTTAATAGCAACTATATGTCCTTTGTTCAAACAAGAGGTATTGTGTATTGTCCTCACGTGGACTAATGTTAGAAGTGAGGAGCAGATGATTGACATGAGATTGGATAGGGTTTTCTTCAACTCTCACTGTCTAGACGCATGGGACGACATTGGGTGTTGTATGTTAGCATGTTAACCACTTTTCAATTCTTCCAATAAGGGGATGTATAAGAAATATTCATTTCAATTCCAAGTCCCAAGTAGTAGTTGACAATATGATGTTGAATGTATGATTAGTATAGATTTAGTAATAGTCTATGTCCTTTCCTTATTTTGTTATTTGTGAGACTGGATCTAGGCTTCAGACATGGTATACTTCATCACTCATTCTTTTTGCATTTAATACTTCATAATTCATAATTTCACACTCATTCAACAACCTCATATATTAGTATAATAATTTATATTATTATCTTATTAACATAAATAGTTATTGTTTTAACGTTGGAGTTTTCAACTCAATATTTGAGTAACTAAGTTTTCTCAAAAGAACCAACCACTATTTGATTTTAAGATAATAAAATAGTTTTAGATAACTATTGTTTTTAAAATAAGATGCATTATACTTTTTATAGAAAAAAAAAATTACTTCGTATTTTGTGATAAAAGAAAAAGAAAAAATATTTTTAATCATTGTATTTTCTTCGATTCTATTCACTCATTTTAAAATAAAAATATATTGACATTGTGTGAGTTTATATATAGTTAAATTTTTATGCGTTTTGATTTAATCATATTATATATATATATATATATATATATATATATATATATATATATATATATATATATATATATATATATATATATATATATATAATATGATTAAACATGTAGCAGACAATACTATATAATGTTTAACATGTAGCAGACAATACTATAGATGCCAATTAACTTGATATCATACTTTAGATTTTTTTTAAAGCTTTATGATGATTTCTCCAAATTTTTATTTTTTAACTTTTACATAAAATAATTTTAACTTTTATGATGATTTCTTTTTTATTTATCTATACTAAAATGATTTATGAAGTAGTTTATCAGAATCCACCTTTAATCAAGATAAAAGAGAATTTATAGTGATTTGATATTTTTACTTTTTTATTACTTACTTAATCTACTGATTATCTAGTGCCAACATCACTCATTTTCTTCACCTATACTCTCATTTCTTATAATTGTGTACTCAAATTAAAAATTAAAAAAAGCACTTCTATTTTTTTAAGATTAAATTTAATCTTTAATGTATCATATCATTTTATACCGTTATCTATTTTAATATAAAATAAGATTGAAAATGTTATAATTTCTGGTTACAATAGAAAAATATAAAAAAATTTAGTTAATTAGATATAAAATTATGATGATATAATATAAATCCGTTAAAAAATTATAAATAAAGTAATAAATAAGTAAAACAATGCCATAGATTTAGTTGATTTTGACCACGGATAAGTATTCAATCGACTGGGATGCATTGTGATTGATTTCAAGAATGAAAGGAGATTTCCTTGTAGATATTTCCATGTTTAAATCAATAATAAATATATGTCTTTTTCTATAAAATAACAAATAATCTAAAACTAGTAAAAATAGTATAATTTATAAACTTCTTCCTAAATAATAAACAAATTTACTTAATAAGAAATTTACTGAATGATAATAAGACACGTTAATTCGGAAGAATATTTCAGTCATTAGATATAATAACAATAATAAAATAATAATAATAATTAAAAAAGAAAATATTTTTTATTATAAATTTAAAATTAAAGGTATTACAACACTTTAGGAAACGTCAATAATTTTTTTTTCATATATTAAAAATTAGTTAATATATAATTTAAAGATAAAAATAGATGAATTATGAAGAAAATTCTAAAAGATAATTTAAACTTATAAAGAAGTTAATTTTGGTTTTTTTCTTCTCTTAAAAATATTTATAGAAAAACTCGCCAAAGTATTTATTTTATTTTCTAAAATAAATCGCACAATTTGGAAAAGTGTAATTACTTACTTTTTATTTAATGGAATGCACTTATATGTATAATTATTCTCTAATTGTCAATTAAACTTTTTCTTACATTTACATTCATTGCAAAAATGGAATAACCACGTCCCATTATTGCTCTAGAAAATATAGCCGTTACAGTAGCCACACCACAAAGCAGTTCAAAATAATTTAACCGTTGGGTCAATATTCAAAACAGTTGTTGGTACTGAGTGAGTGCGACTCCTCTTGTTAACCGCTGCAAATTCCAGCAGAGTGGAGGAGAACAAAAGAATGGCAGTTAATGGAGAACAAAAACGCACCTCCAGAAACCAAAAGATCCCATTAGCAGATTCCAATGGCCAAAACATGGCCACCCTTTTGAGCCCAGGGTTCAAATCTGCTGCTGCTATGGCTGGTTGGGATGAAGAGGCACTGTTATTGGCCAGCCTCATCGTTGAAGACACGCCAGATCGAGATTCCAAGCACAAGAAACGCTCTCTTCTGAACTCCAAATCTCCAGCCACCAACTCATCAAGGTATTGTCCCTTTTTTTCGGGACGAACTTAGCTACAATTTTCATAATCAGATTTGGTGTTTTGCTTTGTCCTTCATTTTGTCTTTTTTCTTAGTAAAGATTGTTCTTTTTTCAATAACGCTCTGTGTTTAGGAAACGTAGAGCTCGGAGGACTCCACAACAACCAATCCCTGTAATTCTTGATCTTGATTCAGAAGAAACCCCCAGAAAAGGTTTTTTTTTTATTATCTTAGTAGTCTGAATTTTGTGTTGATTTACTTTCTTGTGTTTTTTTCTTTTTGTGTGTGTGTGGCTAATTGTTTTGATTGACAGAGAGTGGGAGAAAGAAGAAAGAAAAAAAGGCTTGTGTTAATAATGAGGGAAGCAAAGTAGGAGGGGATGGGAATGAATGGAAAGAGAAGAACGCGAGGGTCCCTTCTTCTAGTTCAGCTCTTCCCTGCATTGATAAACTTAGGGACGAGCTTTCCTGTGCTGTAAGAGTCTTGTTATGTTCGTGCTGATTTTGATTTAATTTCATATTTTGTTTCAATATGAATGTTATGTTTTATTTGCTTTCTGCAGATTTGTTTGGAAATATGCTTTGAGCCAAGTACCACTCCTTGTGGTCACAGGTAAACAATAAATCAATGTCAAACACCCCACTAAAACTCAACTTCCGTTGGAACCATTGAAATCGTGGTACCCAACTTAAATTTTAATATTACAATACTGTTTTTCATCTTTTGCAGAAAAACTTAAAGCTAGAAATTTTTTCATGGGGTACCCAATTTAACTTTTAATACATGAATGCCTAGATTTCTAATTCCGCTTCTTCAATTTTGAAGCTTCTGTAAAAAATGTCTACGATCTGCGGCAGACAAGTGTGGCAAAAAGTGCCCCAAATGCAGGCAATTAATAAGGTTTGAAGTCTATTAATTTTTTGTTGACTTTACAAAAACCATATGTTCTGAATGAATGCTTTTCTGTTCCAATAACATTATCTATATATATAATCCCTCATGATTTATTGCAGCCATGGACGATCATGCACTGTGAACACAGTCCTCTGGAACACAATCCAGCTCCTGTTCCCCCAAGAAATTGAGGCAAGAAAAGCAGCTGGCTCCTTGAATGGTCGCCACCAAGCTCAAAATCTGAGTCCAGAAACAGCATTCTATGCTAACCTAAGGAATACAAAAACACAACCTTCTAGTGTGGCATCAAGCAGAAACATGAATTCAAGGAGGAGTGTGGCAACAACATCAACGCAGGTGGATGGTGATGATGCATTGGCTAGGAGGTTGCAGAGAGAAATTGATGAACAAAGCCCGGGAACAACTCGAACTCGGGTTCACACTGGAAGAGTAAGGGAAAGAAGAGGTGTTTCTACTAGCCAAGATGAGGATGCAGCTTTGGCTCTAAGGTTGCAGAGAGAGGAGTTCATCCAAGCTTTTAGGAGGGGGAGCAACCAGGAACAGGGTGTTAGGTTACCTTCATCATCATTAGCAAATTTGAGGGCTATGGCATCTAGAGCCATGAATCCTAGGACTAGTGATAGAAGGAGATAATCTTGGGTTGAATGTGTGCAAAATTATTTTGCACAAGGCCATATAAATTTTTCTTTCACCAGAGGGACTGTTAACCAAGAAGCATGTTAACAATTTAAGTTAATTATCTTGATATTTTGTGTATTGTTTTGGTTTTCAAAATGTGCAAACTCAGCTGTACTTTTTGAGGGAAACTGTTGTGCTGTCGATCATGAAGAATGTTATAACTTTACTTTTTTTTTTTTAATGTCATTTTATGGTGATCTCGTGATTTTAAGGTACAGACTGAATTGGGCGCAAATTCAACTGACATTCGGAATTCTGATGTTTTTTTTTGAGCTATTTTTTATTTATTTATCAATGTTTGCAAATTTTCATCGAAGTCCTACACTAACATCAAATTATTATTATTATTATTATTATTATTATTTAAGGTTTTAGAGACTAAAATGACAATGAAGTAAAGTTTCAGGAACCATATTTGATATTTATTCTACCATGGGATAAAGTAAATAAACAAATATTTAATAAATATATATAATAGAGTTAAATAGCTTAAATTAGATGGTTAATAATGCTTCCCGTTTTCACCATCCTCACACAATGTAATTTCATGGCGCGCGTGATTATAAAAATTAAATTGACACTTGAAACTCAAACTTTGTTTCGAACGCAAGATGGTGCTCAGGATTTTAAAATTTAAACTTGTTCAGTGCATTAAATAGAAAGAGAACTCAATTTGCTTAGCTTACTTTTCAATAAATATTTCTTTTTATCAAATTTCTTATTAAAATATTTTAAGGTTAATAATAATTTATTTGAAATTATTATGCTACAATAGAAAAATACACACAAAGCTAAACAATTTATTATTATGATTCTAAATGCAGAAGCACATTTTACATGGTAATGAATAACATGAATATGCCTAATGTTTAAATGTCAAATTAACATTCTTGTGCAGGTATATATTGTATATAACCTATTTACAAACTTTTAACACCATGCTGTCATGCGTAATAATTATATCCAACTCAAAATTATTTCTCCAAAAATGTACAAGGGATCTTAAAAAGGGAAAAAGCATGCTTATAAAATTTGAACGTGAATTGTCTGTATAATAAATTCCAAAATTCAACTTGAATGTGTTTCTCTAATGAAACATGGACTTCATCAATGATCCGAAGTTCTTGTGAGATTAGGAACACCAAATAAGTTCACTTCAACAGTATGAAAAACTGTACTTTCCTCACATTCTGGCAAAATTGGAAAATATCCTCGTAAAACGATGATACAACACCAGCAAAACCAGCCTGGGTACATGAAAAAGACGCTAATCCTATCCATCTAAATGTTACAACAGTTCTCACAGAAATGACCAACGAGAACAATCACAATGGCAGAAGCCACTCATTAGTCATCATCAATCATCAAAACAATTACACATACATACACGTGGCACTCTACTGTCTGGTTCTAAGAAAGTTGTGGAAATTTTCAATGCCTGTGAGAATGCTTTCGGCTGCTATAAGTAACCTCTTTCTTTTCGCCGTTCCATCTACCCGACATTCTTAGAGCGAACGAAATGCCCCCCACAGCACCCATAACATAAAACGCTCGGTACGGAGCCAAAGTAAGACCAGAAAAAAAGGACCAGTATCCAGCTATGAGATAGATAAAGTAGAGTCTAACGTTTCGGATGGGGATCCCGGTAAAGGACACGAAGAAGGAATTGAACTCAGGCTTCGAGTTGCAGATTCCATGAAGTATGATGCCAATGCAAAGCACAGAATCTAGGAGCCATGGGAGGCTCTCACCCAATGCTAGCCTCTGCAAAAATTAATAATGAAAAAGTAAGTAAGAGAATTTGCAGTTTGAAGGCAATCTAGATGATGCAATCATAAAAAATATTAGTACATTTTCTTTCAAGCAGTTATCTAGTAAAAATTTACATGAACTATGCTTCTAATCTATGCAATAAAAGTTCAACTTAAGCGCAACTTCAATATCAAATGCGCCGATTTATTAATCCACACCCAAAGTGATGAGAACGAACAAGGTGCACATTTAACAGAACAGTTCATTATTTTGAAATTGAAAAGGTCTAAAGAGGTAAGAAAGATTCCATTGAAAGAAAATCACAATGAAACGAACTGAAACGTATTTCTTCAAGTGGTGGTGTCTAACTATGAAGGGAGAAAAAAAATCATGTAAAATAATGGGTAAGGAAAGTAAGCTCGTGTCTCTCCTAGTCTTCAACAGGAAGAAGCAAAATCAGGCAAGATTATGTTGTGGAATTCAATCAACCAGATCCCCCTCCAATGGGCCTCCCTAAAACATTCCCCCAAGAAAAATGATTGCATGACAGAACATCTTTAGAATGTTAACATGATAATAATCGATATATAACATGTACCTGGAACCAAGCAACAACGGATGGAGCAAACATCATCGTCGCAACAAGATGCAATATCAACAAGCCATGGCGATGGTGAAATAAATCCAACTGTGTGTCACTAAAACTTTTTGTCGAGTCTGAACTGTTGGAGAAGTTTCCTTCTGAAGGGAAAGTCCGCTTAAAACTACCATCAAATTTGAAATTCTTTCTTTCAGACCCCATATAATCTTCACTGTTACAATCAAAATTTTCATTATTTTTTTCGTGGCTGCGACAAGATGCTGTCAGGAAACTGCTACATAAACAATAACAAAAATCAGTTTCAAAAAGTCAAACACGTTATGATATGATAGGCCTAAGGCCCGAAAGAAAGGATTACATTAGAGGGATATAGTATAAATTGATATTACAATATTTATATTTTAATGTTATATATTATAAACCCTAAGCTAGGATGACGACAATTGTGGGTTAATCAATAGCAGCAATTAGGTTATATAATTGTAATCTCCTTAACTCACAAATTATCAATGAAAAATCTGGTTTTTTTAACTTCATTGTAGCTCATTTAATAGTAGATTTATTAGTAGATAGCAGCAATGTAGATGATAGCATCCTAACAATGGTGCTTTTGTCATGTTCAAAATGTTATACAAGTAAATCAAGAAAATACTTAAGAAATTATCATAAAAAGCGTATGTGTTCAATGTACTTTAAAAAATATAAATGAAAAGGTTACTTCATTGGACGGGTCAACCCACCCAACCTGAGTCAACTAGGATGAAATGTGAAACCCAACCCATTCGGACGGGTTATGCGGATGGATACAGACCCATTTTTATAACCCTATCATTAAAATGGCATAAATTTTTTGAACCAATATTGCAGCAAAACAGCAGTTTAGTCATGTAGAAAACAGAAAGGAAATAGGGAGTAATACAATAGCTGTCTGAACCACAAGCCCCTGACAAAATATAAGGATGGATGCATGTGTGTGAAAACATACAGGAAAGAGATATTAACACGCGGGACACTGGATTTGTTAAAACTCACACTGGAAGAACGTTAAATTACTTATGTCTGTCAGTTGCATGTAACATACATTGATAGCCATTGGAAAGTACTAGGACAATATCAAATGATCAAGTAATTTCATTTTTTGCGGTAACAACTAAAAGGAAATGAAATAAATGTAGATAGATATATACCTGCATAATGCATTGTGACAACAGAGAAAGTGAGAGGAGAGAAGTATAAGGAGACCAAATGATGGATGAACCAAGCTTGCCAAGACCATTGATGTAAGTGCCATAACAAGTACTGGATTGGATCTTAGAACCCTAACCACCTGTTTGATGTACGTACCAAGATTCAGAGGTGAATGTGCAGAACTTAGTATAAAAGAAAACAGAAGATCACAATATACTTCTAGCATAAGCACCCCGCTTGTGCACTGTCCACCTCTATTCTACTACTCTTCAACCAAAGAAATAACTCATGAAAAAAAAAAAAATTTGGAAATAAAATAAGCCAGTAGGCCTACAAACTGTGGATAAGAAACCCAACTACAATACTTGGTTTGTCAATCACCAGGACATAAGTTGTACTTTACCTTTAGAGAAAAGAAGCTAGACGAATGATTAACAAACCAGGAAAGAGAAAAAAAGCTAACATTGCGTTCCCACATTTGCCACCTGCAACATATTCATCATTAAAAATGGACACACAATTAGCATTTCTTTTGTTGATTATCAACCTAAAAACTTCAATTGGTAGAGAAAGGAGAATAAATATAGATTAACAGAAATTCACAAGATATGTGATTTACTAAGCCAAAACTGTATTAATATATCAAGGATACCTTCTTGACATTAGCAGACATACTGGGCAAAATTTATGGTGAGTGGTATATATCAATCAGTCAACTAACCTTGTCTTGATGAAAATATGTGTAACGGCAGCCACAAAGAATACCAAGTGAGAAATCAAAATTAGAATAGCTATGAATCCGTTTGCAAAGATATAACAAATTAGAGAAATGCCAATGTAGCTAGCAAATGGAGGAAGCGGCTGAGACATCAACAGTGACAGGAATAAGGAAAAGAAAATGGGTAGAATGGCTAGAGGAAACAAATGTGATATTAGTGTCAAATTGGATTCCAAAGCAGTCAGCATTGATGGTATTCTCAGATCAAGATCCCATGAATATGCTTGTCGCATTAGAGCAAAGAAAACAACAGCAATAGAGAAACCAACTATCTGCATGAACAGCAGCCAATAAAAGAAATTATTTTATATTTATAAAATCCAATATCACGTGGATGGATATAAAGAGAGAATGATAGACCATATGCGTGAACCAGCAATTCACCTTTTAAAATCAATCGAAAACACTAAATTGTACAAAGGAGGATAAATAATAATTTTTTTGAATGGAAATATAAACTGTATATGTTTTACAAAGGCATGAGATTATTGGAAATTCAAATAAAAACATAAAATGCATGGTAAAGGGTTACAAAATCAGACATAAAGAAGTTCATTTACCTTTGGACTATACAATAGTAAAAGCCTACTCGCAGCAGCACTGACAGAAATTGAAATGCTACTCTTATAAGAACAATGTGGGTCAACCTGTGGAATAGTGGAGAAATTAAAAAAATTAAAATAATTGTCATAATACCTGCCACTGCCAGAATGCTAGATAGTCATAGGATTTGGTAGTTTGGCATCCCTTTATAAAACCTTGTACATGAAAGTAACTCCAATTCCTTATTTATTGAAAAATTTAAGGGGGGAAACAGTTCATTTTATGTATTAGGTTTTCCATACCAGCAAGAGAACAATGGTTTTTTCAGATTGCTGAGTTGAACTCCAATGTGCTGGTGAAGAATCAACAACAATTATCTCTGTGTTCAAATTTGGATATACATGAAGACCAGATGTATCATCCCATGCAAGTGCAACAGGTGGGAAACAGCGCAATTTGCAGAGCCCTGAAATATCCAGTTATAGTTATCTCGGCTGAAAAAAAGAACAGTAAACATAGCAGAAAAATATTCATCACAAATTCATAATGCATTCAACTATATGCAAAAATGAAAGTCATGTTCAAGCCAAATACTTGTTATTAAAGATAAATTACATCATATCTTTTGGTAACATATTGTAAACTGTTGGAGATCTACCACATCTTCAAACTTCCTTGTGTATATCATCAAAGAAGAATAAGATAAAAAATCAGCTATAGTGCCACCATAAAGCCATAACTGCCATTTTTCATTCTTGCTATCATTCATCATCCTCCATATAATGTTCAGTGGTAGCATCCCATTCCCTTTACGGTCATGGCATCGTGGTGGTTTAAGACATCCACAATGGACATTGTGATTTTTCTGTTTTTAAAAAACACCCTATTTAGGGTTATTTGACAGTATAGTGGGGTTTATTTCTTTGTTTCTCTGCCATACAAGAATGGGTATATTCCTCTGCTCTCATTGGAATCCGGATTACCAACTCCAAGTCCAATCATCACCCTCACCAGGAGCCTGAATCACAACTGTTTCCAGCAACTACCTGAGCCTTTTCTTTCTTCTTCCTTTCATCTCTTTCTTTTCCTCTGCTTGTTCTTTCTGTCAGTCTGTCCTGTCAGTTCTCTTGTCTTGTTTTTTGCTTATTGTTCTCGATGTGAATTTTTTTTGTCAGTTGGGGTTTTCTTTTCTGTTATTTGCTTCATTTTTTTCAGTTCTGTTTCAGAGTTTCTGCAACATTTATTCATTGGGTCACTCCACATTTTTGTTTGTGTTATTTGCTTCATTTCTCTATTCTCTGTTTCTATTTTATACATTCTATTCTATCTTATGATTCTCTTTATCTCTGTTCTCTAATTTTCTCCATATGATGAATTTCCAATCCTTCACACTTCTAGGACATGTCAAGTCAAAACTTTCTCTATTAACTTCTTCAAACTTGTGATTTTTTTGAAATTTAGTCTACACCTCTTCATATATTTGGTCAGTAGTTTTATTTTTAATTTATTTCTGCAGTTTTTTATGTTTTTTATACATATTTATATATTCTTTTGCCCACCATAGGCCACCGCCACCCACTATTTGGCAGATTTTTGGTTCACCAGCATCACCACCATCCATCATTGATAACACTGGATCAATTACAATAACCACTTACTCAAATTTCTCATTCTTTTAAACTCCTTTTTCTTTTTCCAACTTCCTACTTTCTTTCCAGTATGTCCCTATGCATGACCTTTTATAAACATCTTTTGAAAACAAGAGATAAAATATATCATCTGATCAAGGTTTTGGATGAGACAAAACTCAGGTGCTTATGGTCTGTTTTTACCTTGCTAGCCTGCATTAGAAACTCTATAGATTGGAAACACCAGAAGCACCTAAGGAACAGCGCCTATGTTTTATCCTTTGGATTAAAACTAATAAATAGCACCAGCCCCAAGACATGACAGTAAAATAAGGCGTAATCTCAAATTTAAGATCAAATGTTTCTTGAGATCAGATAATAAGATATGAAAGTGTTTTTCTGATTGATTCTAGCTGAAAAAGGGATACACAACTATATAGTTACGAGAAGGAAAAGATAAGCTAAATCTAAACTATACACTAAAAAAATAGGCTATTAGGATAAACACAAATTATATTCCCTAAATCTACAACATAACAGAATCCAAACTATATCTAAAAAATGTCACTATAAAGCTCTAATTTTAAATTTCAAGCCTAAACCTTGAATAAATTTTGAGTTGCTTTAGTAGTTGAATTGCCAAGGTTAAATAAATAAGTAGTAGACAATGATACCAGAGACTTAATCCCATAGGAAAATAAACTAGAAATTGGAAAATCATTCTAGAGACAGCTGTGTCCCTCGGGATGAAATGCATCCACAGGGATTTCTTTCTTAGCTGCCACGACATCCTTCAAAACCTCTTTAAACCTGTGCAATGTCTCAAATCCATAGATTCTCACCTATCCTACAAACTCTACTGCCATTCCAATTCCAAACTACACCAACATCTCCGGCCAAAGGCAACACAATTCAGTTTGTCTCCTGCTTAACATCCCACTTAGATTGAGCTCCACCTTGCACTAATCAACCCGCTGAAGTGGGTCCTTATTTCACTTTGATAGTGATAATCCTCCCATTCACTTAGAACCAACTAATCTACCCTTTCAAAAACCAATCAACCCAGAAAACTGAAAACCTAGTAATCACTATTAAGCAACTAACAATGGTTTGGCTATGAACAAACTGGTTGACGCCCCTCTGGGAGTCTAATCTCCAATTAATAATGTCTGTACAGATAACATCAATAGTAAAGATACATATTTCCCAGCATGATCAAAGACACCACTCACTTGTTGAAAGATACTTTTCCCTTCTCTCCCCCATTTTACAATGAAGACGCAGACAAAACATCTGTGCGTCATTCATTGCATCTATACTGTGTTTGTGCCAGAAAAAAGAACTTCAACGTAATGATATTTATCTTTAACTAAAATATTACATTACAACTTTTTATTAGTTTCTTGAGATTTAAAATACAATTCTATGTCAAATACAACAGAATGCCTATTGTATAATCTAAAGGAAACTTGCATAAGAAAGCATGTGCTATAAATGAATCTCACTTCTAACAGGTTATCGCATGGTAGCTATAAATATTATATGGTGATGGCAGATCCATGATTAAGTGTATATATGTCGGAAGGAAATGGAATGGGCTTGCAGTTAAGTTAGGCCCATTTAGGTTAGGTTTTTGGTCATCAACTGTAAATAAGTGACTACCTAAAAAGGAATAACTGTAAACTGTCCAGGGGGACTTATGGTGAATTATAGAGGTGCATAAGGAGTGGATCCAGAACTCTCAAAATAACTGAAGCAGTGTATTGTTTTCTAGGGAGATTTACCCTGTTGTTTCATTTAAAAAAAAAAAAAAACATCAATATCCATGACATTTTTCTGTACTAGTTCTATCATATGGTTTCGGTCTGAGTCTGAACAATATGATATGATATAGATTATAATGTTAATCAATTCCTAAGCCACAACTCCTAATTTGTTAAGGTTGTCAACTAAAGAGTCTACATAAACTTGTGGAGTTTTTGTAGACTCAATTCGTATATACAACTCATAAGAATTTATCTAATATAAAAATAATATTAAAAAATCCATTTATGACATATATGCATAACATAATCTTAACACAACAATAGTTCAACATTATAACTTCAAATAGAGAAAAGTAGCAGAGCACAATAACAAAGTATGGTAGTGCTTTGTACATTAGTGCTAAATAAGATTAAACTACATAAATGACCAAATCGTATATAAATTCAATAAAACATGAGATTTCAAAAGAGGAGCAAATTTCTTCAAATTATGAGTCTTAAAACACTATCACTGTGGGAGGTCAATGAAGGACAAAAATTACATTTGATTTCAAACTCATTGACTCATTCCATAATTCAAGAATTTATGCGATTTTACAGAGTTTTTTAAAGAATTTACCAAAGTTTACTCAGAACATTTTCATAGTTAGTTGACTTATTTTCTACCCAAGGTCGTAAATTTGTAAGAGTTAACAAACTTGACTGTTTGACAACCTTGATTTATGCTAATAATCAGGTCAGTAATAAGAACCATAGGAGAACCATACCACAAAAGTTAAATGTTGGAGAAAGAAAGTTCAAGACCTCATAAATTCCACAGAAAAGTCCCACACTTCCAATGTGGGACTCAAGTCCGGCACTGATATAGTGTAACCGGGACAAATACAAACTCCAATCCACTAATAGGACTTGCTAAAATCCGTAATATTCTAATAGTAGAGAAGTAGTAAGAGGCATATGGTGCTGATTGATGAGAGCATTCAGATATGTTGATCTGAAGGGAATAATGACATCATTCAGTCAAACTAGTTTATATATAGTATGTCTACTTTGTATATTCAACATTTATCTATGCTAACAAGCGAATTTAAAAAATAATCCCTTTAGTAGGGTCAGTGTAATAAACCGTTCATCTACTTTTCTGATATCTGTTTGATACTTGCTAAACTGTACAAAATACATTTCAATACACAATGATGCCATATGACGTTAGAAAACAAGCACACAACAGAAAAGATATCACTGGAAAATAAAATTCTAAACCTATATTTCAGTTGGTAATAGATTAGACTTACTACTGCTTTCAAGGTCTCCGGCTTCCTCTTCTGGAAGTCCAGAGTTTCTAATTCCACAGCTGACAGTTTTCAAAGAAAAAGTAACAGGTAGAAGACCCACACTGATGGCAAATGATAATTTGACAGCTAGAGGATGCGCCTCCTCCAAAACCAAATCCTGTATAAAACAACATATCAAAGTTAAGTTTTGACCATGGAAGAAGAAAAATTTGTTCCATCTACTTGCAACTTGCTGAAATTTAAGGAACATATTTTAGCATTGTAACAGCATTTTTTTCACGTGACTTCTAATTAAATTTTCCATATTTATATTTTTTTATTTTGTTACATACAACCTAATAAGACAAAAGGCACATCCGTGATAATAGTTCCAACATTACACGTAACCATCAAAGTATGCTTAAGCTGGTCTATATCCTACAAACTGCTTTAAACATTGCAATAAAAAGAAACTCAAGACATAAATTCATTAAAGTGAATTAAACTACAATATAATAATCTATGCTATATAGGTCAGTCAGCATTCCATGAAAATAACAACCTTCTGAGAATAGGTAGATTGAAGCATAAACCATGGAGATAATTCTTGACTTCCCTCCTCTGGATTAAAGAACTGTCCAACTGCCATGGATGCTGCTGGCGGGGGTCTACCTGAAACACTCTGTGAACCACATTGTCATTACACGTCTAAATATGGAACACATGTTATCAACAACAAAGACCATACAGAAGCTACATCATATTTATAGGCAGGATGATTTAATTATTCCATCTTCAGTCATCTTAATTCTTATGGCCGCATGAAATTACACTTATATAAGAACTTTTAAGATAGGAAAAGGTACACAACATTTAGTTGATGAACACACATCCAGATGAAAATCACCTCTGCAATTTTATGAAAGGTACTTATAAGACCAAAAACAAAGTACGTACAAGCTTCCACATGGAAACTTTAAAATGAAAAAGCTTCAATCTCAAAAACTCCTAATCAAGCAGACCAAAAAGGCGCAAGGGAAGAAAAGGTAATCATGAATATTTCTGACTACCTCTCGGAAGATATGGATTTCTTTATATCTAAAACGAAATCATTCAGTACTCAAAATTGTACCGGACGAGGTGCAACTGAAATAGTAAGAAATCTGAAGCCATGCATTTGTCCCGGACCCAACCAAAATACAGCAGATGGAGGAGCTTGCTCAGTCTGACTGCCAGGTTCAAGCTGTTATAATATTGCAGATTAAATATTATGAGTAACCATATCAAATTTAATAAACATCTTCCTCAGACTATCTTCAAGAACTGAACAATTATAAAGATAATCCAAACAAGAAAGAAGGGTAGTCTGGAATAATGTACCTGCCGTGGTGCTGGGCCTGAGGGAATGCGCATCATCTTTGATGTTACTTCAACAACCCTATCATTGAGAGGTAAACTTGTAACGGATTTCCCCTTTTCAGGCCACAAATGAAGTCTAATTCCAGAACAAGGCTCAAGATTGGTCACAAGCACAAAATGACTTTTTCCATTTAAACCCTACAAATCCAAATTAAATGATTGAGCATTTGCACCATCGTTGACTGTCTATGATTACGACATACAGAAAGTGAATCTAATCTGACTCTGGAATAGTCATGCTGATCATGTACAACATTTATATCAACCATACACAAAATTACAGATATCTTCAACTTTAGAAAAATTAATCAGTCTAACAAACACCTTCAAAAATTAAAATTATTCCATTAGAACAAATAATTGGAAGATAGCCTGCATGACCAGGAAGCTGAGTGATGGATTAGAGGTCATTTTGATAATCTCCAATAGCAAATGGAACTTTATGGAAAAAAGTTATTTAAGGTAATATCATTATTTCTACAATTATTACAGAGAAAGAAATTATAATGATTTCTCTATAAACATTAAAAAACTTTTCAACATTCTAATGGAAATTTATGAATCCCCAGAAACAATGTCTGAAGCAAAACACAGTAAGAGTTATAATCTATTCTTTTAAAAGGAAGCATATGGCAAAGTGAGGAACTTATATGGCCCTTTGGTCCATGTGACTGAAGTGGAATGCTTGCATCTATGAAGGTGTACCTTTGTCCCAGATGCCACCCAGCCCTATATACTCTAGCCCTATTTATAGTTCCAAATGTGTCAACCTGCCACTGCATTATGATTTTGATTTATTTCTTTTATTATGTATAATTGTATTTGAAACATGTTTTAAGTTTGGTAAGTTTTAACTTTAGGGGGAGAAACCAAACTGAAACAAATAACAGATTACAAACAAACTGTAACTAGCTAATTGATTACAAAGTTGGAGTTACACTCCCCCCAAAAAAAACTCAAGGAGGCTGAAAATCTGTAGGGAAATCAATAACTTTGAGTTTGGCCCAGAGTAAAGAAAATGTAGTAGAATATAAAGGCTTTGTACGAAGATCACTCTACTCATGTAAACCAAGAATATAACCCCCTAACTGCTTATTAACAACTTCCTCACTGTTGAAAGGATTAGTGACAATCCAAGTAACGGAAGATGGTACTGCTATGATACCATGTTGAGAAGAAAGAAACTAATATAATGAATTTTGTGTGTTGTGTACACACGAGTAAATTATTTATGAAAAAGAGATACAATAATAAAGAACAAAACCAAATATCTAATAATGGGAAATATTTGGTCAAATATCTGATGCTTATATGACAGTTTGCAAAGCGCCATCATCCTACATATTTTCCTAGTAATATAAAAAGTTAGTTGTTTTGATTTAATTCACTACAATATATGAGGTCCTACATTCAATTCTAGTATACCCGGTGCTAAATGTTTTATCACTTAATTGAAGATTGCACTTGTATCACATGGCTTTTCTTCATGAAAGAAAAAAATTGGAAATTTTCCTCCATTTATAGAATTTTTCTATATGATACACACAATTTGGGAAATATATTAAATGCTTGTGTTTTCAATGAGAGAATATGTAAGTCATGACATGGCTAAATTTCTTTCCGAAAATGGTATTGTGCATGAGCTCACATGTTTGGATACACAACAACAAAATGGAATTATTGAAAGAAATCATAGGCATCCACTTGAAGTGACTAGGGCCCCACTCTTCCAAATATTTATTCCTAAGTGTTACTTGGTGGAGGTTATACTCACAGCTGCCTACTTCATTAACAAATTACCCTTTCGTGTTCCAGATGATCTTAGTCCTGCTAAATCTCTATCCTCTCTTGTCCAACTTTTAACGTTGTGCTTTTCTTTGCGTTGCTTTTTGTCCATGTTCAGGCTATGATTTCCTTGGGTATCAGTAGTCATGGTGACCATATCCTATTTAACAAACTTTCCTTGAAAGGGAAACTCACTCTTCTCCTGGCCTAGAAAAATTGAAGTATTTCCTTGAAATAAAAGTTTCCTACTCGATAAAGGGGATCTTTACATCCCAGTGGAAATATGTTTTAGACTTTCTCAAGGAAACACTTAAGATTGATTTTAAGGCCTCTAAAGCTCCTATATAGCAACCATAGAACTGGGAGTTATGAAGATAATTCTACAGTGAATAAAGGTCAATATTAGAGACTTGTAAGGAAGATCATTTACATAGCCCACACCTGACCAAACATTGCTTATAATGTGATGTGATAAGTTAATTCATGCATGATCAAAGAGAGGGACATTTACAAGTTGTGAATAAAATCCTTCAATATTTAAAGATAAGTTCAGGAAGAGGATTGTTATTTAAGGATAAAAAATTAAATATGGAGATGTGTACTAATACGAGGTTCACCTTGATATTGCATGTTCTTGGGTGAAAACCTAGGGTGATGTGGAAAAGTAAGAAACAAAATGTTTTTGTAAAATCTAGTGCAAAGGCTGAATTTGAGCTATGGTACAAGGGACGTGTGAATTGTTATAGTTGAAAATTATTTTGAATAATCTTAAGGTGAAATATGAAGAAACTGACTCTCATTTGACAATAAATCAGCTATTGGTATTGCTTGCTTGCTTGCGATCCTGTTCAACAGGATAGGACCAAAAGAGATAACCGGCACTTCATCAAAGAATTACTGGATAATGGACTTAAACTATTTCATACATCCCATCAGGACTTCAGCTAGCAGATTTATCCACAAAGGATCATCCCACAGAAATGTTTCATGATCCTACATGCAAGCTGAGAATGATTGATATCTATACACCAACTTGAAGAGGAGTGTTGAGTAACAAGAAGATATTATCAATTAATGTAATTATTACTATTAAGAGATTGTAGAAATACAAAGAGCTATTAATTAATTATTGTAATTATTTCTAGGGTAGTAGTGTTCTATATAATGGAACCTCCTGAACTTGTTTGAGATTAAGAAATGAGAATCAGAGTTTCTGATTTCCCCCTTAAGAGAACACTAGAAAAAAAATCAAGAAATAACTTCCCTCTATAACAAGGTCAAGGTGACCTTTCATGGTAGAACTCCCCAATTACACTGCGAGGTCTTCTCTGTATATTCTCTCATACCCTATCTTTGTGATCCCTAATTCCTATTTATATCCCATATTTTTTTATCTGGAGGCTATTATAGTTGTAACCTACAACCCAACTAATCCTCATAATTATTAAAATAATTATAATCCCTAGATGCCCCCAACTATAATCTCTCATGCCCTATCTTTGTGCTTCCTAATTCCTATCTATACCCCATATTATATTGTCTTGAGGATATGCCAATTGTAACCTAATGAACCCTACTAATCCTCATAATCATTAAAATAGTTGTTCTCTATAAATTTCCCCAGCTATACGAACTACCAAGCTACTTCCCACAAACTTTTCCTCCATATTTTACATTACAGCTTCCACATCCCACAAACTTTTCCTCCATGTTTTACATTACCGCATCCAATTCGGGGGAGAGGGAGATCAAACGGGGGTTCAATTAGTTTCTGCTAAACAAGAAATGAAGAAAACCAACTACAGGTTTACCAATCGAAGATTCAACACAGTGATACATTATAGAAATTTGTTAGAAAAAGGGGGGTTATTTACAGACAGAGAATAAGAGTAGTCAGTTATATATAAGGAAGAGGAGAGTAGTGGGAGGCTATATGATGTTTAACCAATTGTTAGGGGCTAAAGACTAATCTGTATGCTAGGGAGCTTCTTCTCTTCTTGTTATCTTCTTTCTGCCAATATATAGTACAGATAAATACATTTTCTGCAATTGCTATCAATGACAAGGATGTAAAACTTTAAGATGCAAATTCAAATTGTCTTGTGCATTTTGGACAGGATAGCAACTCTCAAGTTCAAGACCACACAGCAAGTCTACAAGATGACCCATTATTCTTCGGCATTTCAAGAGTTGGAGAAGAATCATTTATAATTCCAACAATTTCCATATTCCATTATATTCCAAGATTTGTTAGGAGAATAGGATTTATATAAATAGGGATTAGTGTTTTGCTTTTTCTAACAAATCATTACACAACATCTATCAATACTATTTTCTATTATGCAATCTTTGTTCTCTCTTTTCCTCTTATCTACCTAAATCCCTGCAATTTCGACACAACTTTAGTCTAAGTATGTCAAATATTTTGAATATCATATCAAAGAAACAATAAACAAATACCAATTTTTGTATGTCCAACCACCGCCGTCGACCATCCATTGCTAATACAGTCACCTCATTTATCTGAATGTATAAATCTCTATCAAGGCCCCCATCATTCCAATGAACATTGGCAGGACAAGCAACCGGCCTATGCACTGGTGATCCTGTAGCCACAAAATATAATTTGAATACAAAATTTTACACAAATGTGGAAGGTTATATCCATATTAACAAATATTGACATTGACGAAATTAGGGCAATTAAACAGAAACCACCAAGCGACGAAAGTATTGTGTTTCATATGCAATGCAAAGTAATTTTTCAAAATTGTTTGTACAATGCATCAGTTATGAAAAATCATAATGCCAAGCATACACGAGTTTTTACCAATATAAATCAAGATTGTGACAGAAGAAAGCACATGAAAAAAATGGAAAAAGATTTTCTTTGCCAATAAAGCATAACTTAACGTTATTAGCAAAAGCTTCAACAGCTATATGCACATAAAAAGTGCTGGAATGATTATTAGATGATTCCAGAAAGCTTGTCAACGGAATTTTTAGGTAACATAAATACAAGAATCAGGGGATAATAGAATTATAAGCAACAGCATATAATACCAGTGACATCTTTTGTATTCTGGACAGGAATGTTTAGTGATTGTTTATAAGAGGGTAACTGCATCATCCAGTCAAAATTATGTGATATTCCACTCCGTAGCATTCTTGCAAAAACAGCAAGTCTCTTTTGACTATCAGGAAATGGTTGGCCTGTTCTGGAATCTATCAAACTAAGAAGCGTATGTGATACCTAGATAGAATAAAAATGATCAGGACCACATAAAGGAGAACCAAGTCTATGTTCTTGACAAAGAAGAAACCTACTTACTTGGACAACCAATTGATTACACCATAAAATAGCTTGATGTTCCATTGACAACCACACATTTTTCATGGCTGTACTGCTGATCATGAAGCCATGGGTTGGCGGCACAATATTATCAAGTGATGTTAATTTTGACCGTACCTGAAGAAAAGAAAGAACAAAACTACACCATTATGCGAAGGTTCATAATATTTAACAAGTTAGGCAAGAAAAGTGATCCAGTGAGACTGTGTTCAACTTGAACTTCAATAGGGTGATGATAAAAGATCAATTTCCTAAAAACAAACTAAGTATACATTTACTCAATATTAAACAAAGTTCATTTCTAGATATTACATAAGATGGCAATTTAATAATAATAAAAGGAGATACAAAGAATGAACATAAATGGGTACAGCAAGAGGGCCTGTACCCCCAATCAAGAAATTATTAAATTTGACAATGCATAAGGCAAATAATCTTCTTAAAAGCAGACAGGCAAGCCTTATTTTTTCTATCAAATATCTTTCGTAATAAATCTACTGCATATAGGGAGAATGGTGAAAACCAATACCTGGTAATCATTGTAGGCACCAGAAATAGATACAACTACAACATTAGAGAGCACTGGATCAGACACATAACGCCCTGTATTAGTGGTTTGAACCTTATATCCTTCTCTCCATTTGCAATTTACACGTGCAAAGTAATGACCCAACGAAGGCTGCAATGCCACAGGAGGTGATCTGAATAAAATTCATGTATCCAATCAAACATTTAAGCAACACATAGAAATCCAACAAGAATAAGTTATAGGAAAAAAACCTACTGATGTGGGGTTGAAAGTGTAAGAACAGTTTCAACTGCTGATTTCCTAAGACGAGGGTGGATAACAGCAGCCCTAGCAACAAAACCTCCCATTGAATGACCAACCAATATCACACTTTTTGGCATGCTTCCAGAAACTGCAGCACCTTCTCTTGTTCGAGCATCATAAGACACTTTATATTGGTCCAAAATCTGCATGGCCACATCATAAGAATTAAACAGAATGACAATTTTCAAGAATTACCAGTTTCAAGGAGCATAATTCATAGGATGTTAGAGATAGCACCAACTGAGAACGAGTGCATAACACTGAACTATAAAGTCTTAGGTGAAAACTTGAAAACAGAGAAGCATGTTATCCAAAGCATCAATAAACCCAAGTGGTTTACTACTGCCTACTATAGGATAGTATAAAAGTAGAATCAATAAATAAAGTTTACTAGAACTGAGACATAGAAAGAATAGAGCAACATTTGCAGAGCCGAGGATCTAACTATGTCCTTCTAATAAGTCACATCATTCACTGGATAACACAGAAATATAAAGTCTAAGGAAAACGACTTGAAAACAGAGAAGACTATTATTCATAGCATCAAACAAAGCCATTCCCTGCAATAGGATGGCCTAAATAATAAATATAACTAGCACTATGACATATAAAGACTAAAGGAACATCTGCAGAGTTTAGTGTTTAAATGTCATTCTGTTCTGACAAGTTACCCAATTCATTGGATTTTAACGACGTTGATAATCAACAATAAGAAACAACATTCTCAGTTTATTGAGATTACTTTCACCATTAGTGTGAACAGGCCCTGCCCACAACAATGATAACATGTCAATTCAAAACAAATTGGCGATCTACAAACACTACAAATAAACAATTTCAAGAGTTAAAATTACAACCTGGTTATATTTATCCAATATCCATTTCTTCCTTTGGATATAAACTAAAAATGATAAAAGCGATACCTTATGTATAGCATATACAACATATTCAGTGTGCTCTTCAAGAATCGCACCATCCATGGCAGAATGTTCACCTTCAAGATCAACAGCAAACCAGTCCAGCCTGCTGGTATACTGGCTAGGCAATTGGAAACCAGACAAATTTATATCCGCACCTCCTTCCTCAACTCTTAGGGAAGCTTCTTGGTAAAATGTACGCTCAAGGGGACCAATCTGATATGCCCTATCAGATTCTGCTGCCAATGACCGCACCTATTAAGTGGATAAAACTAATAGAAAATGTCAAAAGAAATATAAAAATTTGGGCAATAATAGTACAAAAAGTGATGAATTAATAAAAAATACATTGACAGAACAACTGAACCAAATATTACCAATATTTAAGTTAGTTTTCTAAATCATACGGGATCTATGCCATATCTCTCCATTTTCTTTATGTTTCGTCTTCTCCTGTTCAATTCCACAATTGAAAAGGAAGCCACATCCCCATACCCAAAGGAATTTCACAAACTCCGGCTATAAAATCTTTCAAGAATGAACTGAGAGTCATGTAACCCTAGAATCTAGATAATCAGAAACATTCCAACAAGTGAACATACCTCAAACTTTGAAAAAAGCAAGCTGAGATACGCAGATTTACATGTCATCATACTATATAACTACATTAATCACTCTCAAATCGATCTATAACAACTAAATCAACATACTCCCAAATACCCAAGTGTTAAAGAACATCTTCAGAACATTAAAACTACTTAAGCCCAGCAATAATATATTAATATTTCCCAGTTTTCATTTTTACACCGCACAATTCAATATTTATTTAACATGTTGAAGTAGTTTAACCCAGAACTAAACAAGTATCCATAAAACCTAACTAACTTTGACTAATTCGGAACAAGAAGAAATAGGACCTTGCCTGTTTGAAGCTGCCACCATTGCCTGGGATGAAAAGCACGGGTACACCACTAAGCTTCTTAAGATGCTCCTTAAAATCTATCTTTTTCCATCCCTCGTGGTACAAGTACAACCCATACTTCACCGGCGAAATGCTCTCCGACGATGAAATAGGAATATATGTCGGATACATGTAGGTCATTATACATCCATTCGAAATAGGCTTCAACAAACCATACAAAGCAGCGAGACAAATCCCTACGACCACAACAATCAAAATTCCAATCCTAATTTTCGCTCTAAAGCCCGGCATTCTCACTCGAAGCTTCAACTCCAAATCTTCAAATAACTGTAAATTTCTCTTTAACCAATGCTCTAAATCAAACAACAGTAGAGAGCCCCTGGTTGAAACAGAGCTTCAAGCTACACGAACACCAAAGCAACGTCGTTAAACACTTGAACTAAACCACGCAGCTAACACATAAACTATTCATCACCGGAACCAGATCGCGATCGATTAAACTACAAGTCCAACTGAAGATTAAAATACGCATCGATCGAACAGCTTCAATCGCCAAAACATATCGAATTCCTCAAAGAAAAAGAAGATCCACAATTCCACAAAAACACAAATGAAGAACAAAAAAAATCCAAAACACTGAAAAAAAAAGATAGATTATATCAAGAAATCAGTGTATTATAAATATAACTAAAATGAACAAACTCCTACATCGAAATATAGATCTGAAACAGGTCCGCCGGAGGCGGCGGCGGCGCCACAGACGGAAGAGAAGTTAAAAAGAGAGAGAGAGAGAGAGAGAGAGAGAGAGAGAGAGAGAGAGAGAGAGAGAGAGAGAGAGGTTACCGACTAGTGGGAAGGAGAGCGTGGAAGATGAAGATGAGGAAAATGGCGTGAGTTGCGGAGGCAGAGGGTGCAACAGAATTTTATTTTAAATTTGGTTAGTGTAAGTTGCGACGAGAAAAGAAACAAGGAGGGCGTGCGTCACAGAGTGACTGTGACAGAGTAGACAACGGAGCTCACGCTTCCGTCCAAAACTCCTGCGATGTGTTCTTATTAAATGTGGGATCTATCTCTCACTAGACGCTCCCGCCGTTTCGGGCCTTCCTCGATACATGACATACCAGTATCAACAGATTTATTATCTTCTCTAGTTAGTACTGTTAATTAATCAGGCGTTTTTTTCCTTTTTTAATGTTAGTTGTCAATATTATAAAGATAAGTATATACAAAAGGTTAATACTATATGATGTATTGTAGTCTTTTATTTATATTAATAATTCTACAATTTTATTCTTGCACGTAAAAACCTATTAAATCAGTATAAATGTACGAATGAGTAAAAGTTTGGAATTTCAACACTTGGAAATCGTGAAGTGGGTGGGTATCTTTCAATTTTTTTCATTTTGGGATGGTGAAGATGGATGAACGACTAAGGTGTTGGGTAGTGGGTGTGCTCTGTTGAGGATTTTCCAGTTCTGGTTGATGAGATGGGTGAAAGAGGTAGGGATGAAGATGTCATTTCCAATTTCTCTTTTACTTATTTAATTTTAATCTCAAACATTTAAATATTTTAACAATAAATTTAAAGCTAATAATGGTAATTCACTCATAGTTCATTCCACATGCTTAAAATTCACCCAAAACATAGTAAAGTAGTATTAATAAAATAGTTGAATTTAATGGTCAAGGTAAAGCACGGTGTTACCGTGAAATGGTGCAACTTTCTCAGCCAGTGAAATATAATTAGAATAGTAATATTTGAACTCTATCTAATTAGTAGCTTCTTCAAGTTAGTTGACTCCCAATTTTTGTATGAGTTTTTTTAATAAAATAATAAATTTGATTTATTACATAACATCCTTCAATTTAAATTTATATTAGTCTAAATATTTTCAAACAAATTTGATACTTTATTATTTTATAAAAATATTCTTTACTTTATCTTTAACGGAAAAATAATATATCTTTATTTTTTTTAAATTATGAAACAAGAATGCAATAGAATTTTTCAATAATAAAAAAAATTAGTCAATACAATCAATCATGATGCGCATTTCTCATATTTTTAATTTGTACATTTTGCTTTTCTTTTTTTTTCTTTAACTACATATTGTACGAATTGATCAACATGTTTTTTTTACCAAAATTCCATTTAAAAAGCATCTATTTGATATATTTATAAACTATTTTGAGTAAAAAATTAATCATGTGAATTGTGTTCAATCTTGCAAAATAGAAAACACCTTAAAAAGGTAATATTTAGCTTTATATATATTTTGCAATCAACCATGCATTAAACATAATCAATTTCATCGTTATGATTGGACTTTGTTTTGTACAATCACTCCTCTCTAATAAGTCTTATGTGTCTAGGTAAATTTGTTAACTCTCAAATATCATTCCTTTCTATGACATGAATCCCATCTTCTATGGGTTTTCTCCTCTCATCATAAGAGGTCTATTTATGACATTAACTCACATGTAAAGAAAATTTGATAATCCCTTAAATGGGTCATTGTCATTACCTAAACACAATTATGATATTTGATTAACAATTATGATATCTAATTGGCAACTAATTATTCATTTGTGTCCTAGCACATGATCATGGCACATTAACAATTACATTTGGTTGATCTTCATTTTCTATCATTGCCATGAATCACCATTTACTCGTTTTGGGATTGTAAGGACCAATCCACATGCCTTTTTTCATGAAACATTATTTCGATTGGTAATTACTTTATTGTCTTCAAACACTATAATTTGTATTGTCACCAACGAAAATACACCTTTATCATCCAATTTCTTTTTTTAATTAGTTTGATATGTGTGCATATGCATCAAAAGGTTACAAGTTGTTTTATTAATGGTCTCTTTTCATTTCTAATTCTTATCACAAAAAACTTTTGTTTTTTACTCTACTAAAATCGTTGTTCGGTAAAAGATAATTAAATATTCTTAATTTGATTAATTATAAAAAAAAAAGCATGTTTAAAGATATCAAATGAAGTATAGTCTAAAACTCACCATATATGAAGTATCTTTTGACCTTAGAATATGCATCATCTACTCAAATGAAGTAGAGTATCATGTTCATGCTTATTACTGTTTTGTATTTCATTTAAAATTATTCATTGTCTTATGTTGTTTTCTAACAGGAAATAGGATCAATAGAATTGGTGTGTTGAATTGCATAAAAGACCAACAAAAGTTACTATTTGAACAAAGAAGTGAAAAATATTTACTTTTATATGATATACATCAATTGTGCTGCATAAGTCAAATTATCCTACTAACTTCAGCTATGTAAGAAAACTACTTTATCTTATCAAGGGAACATGGGTGCAGTTTTATACGCATGGACTTGTGGATTTATTTCTATTTAGACAAGAGGGTCGGAACGTGTAGTAAAAACAAATTGAAATTTAGAACCAAAGATTTTGGTCACAAAATAAGACAAATCAATATTATTCCATTTAGCGAATGATTGATTTTATACAGTAGTAAAAATCCTAATCACAAAATATTTAGTGACCTAAATGTTTTGGCAGCAAAATCGTTATTGAATTTTCAATTTTTATTCGATTGCTAATTCTTTGGTAGGTCAAACTAAGATCAATTTAACAACCAAAATATGTTGTAAAATTTGGTTATTTTAGTTCATTGCGAAAGTTATAAGATTGGATATATTTAATCATTAAAATTTTATTATTATTATTATTATTATTATTATATATATATATATATATATACCAATATATGATGTCATTTATCGGAAAAAAAATTGATCATTAAGATCATGATAAAAAATTAATTTAATAATTTGCAAAATTCCAGAAATTAGGTAAGGGATATATATGTTTTAAGTTTGTATAATAAATCTATGCAACCCAGATAGTGATTTTTTGATAAAATTCTAACGGTTTCTTGAAACTTGATTTAGAAATGAAACTTTGAGTATTCAAATATATTTTTGTTATTTCTAATAATAAAATTCAATAACAAATCGATTCTTTTAAGGAACGTCCAGTTCGTTCAACCCATAACAATCTAATTAGTTTATTGACTAAAAAACATTAGACATTTCATCTTCTGAAACCAATACTTTTAATGTTATTTAATGCATAATAATTTTTATATGTCTATTATGAAAATGAACTCTATGGGATCAATAAACTTTTTTGAATTTTATTTAATGCATTATATTATGCTAATATAATATTGTAATAACAATCATGAAGCTAAAAAAATTTCAAGCTAATCCAAATATGAAAGGATACAAGTTTTCTATGCAAGAAATTTTGTTGGTTAAATGTACAAGAGGCCTTCTTGCCGATCTAAGATTAATCCAACACTAATTATAGACTTAACAACCCTAAGTTTGAAAACAACTATCAAAATAAATTTTAGTAAATATAACTAGTTGTAATTACACAAATTATCAAGGAGAAGATGGCATAATCCAAAAATTAAGTTCATATCTCTTATATAACTTAAACAAAAATTCATATCTAAACAAAAACTTTCAAAACAAAATTTAAGTATACATATTAGTTAAAGCAAAAGTGTTCCGTATAGAAACAATAGTGTCTCGATTTCATGTCCACTATGATAGTATTGTTTAGGTCAATTACTACGTCTGAGGTATTGTTCGCTTTGGAACTTTAGATCATCACAATTTTGTCTTTAAAAAGTGTCTTCATAGGTTGAGAAAGAAGTGTATATATAAACTATCTTTAGTTTCGACTCTTAAACAATGTAAGGCTCATGGAACATACTGAAACATAGTTTTATAGTTGAGAAATAAGGGATAAGAGATAACCTAAGACTCAAGTCTCATCTCTACGATGGGTGTCAATATTCCAACTAGAAACAAAAGTGTCTCAACCTTATGTTTTCTATAATAACATTGTTGGGGTCAATTACCATATTTGAGGTATTATTTTCTTTAAAACTCTAGACCATGACAATTTTGTCCTTAAAGAGATGTTTTGGTAGGTGAAGAGATGAGGATGTATATAAATAATCCTTAACATCAACTCCTCTAAGTGATGTAGAACTCATGAGTGTATCAGAACACAACTCTCAGTCGAGGGCTAAGGGGTAGAAGTGGAACGAGAATATGTTCTTGGTCCCACAGTGGGCATCAATATTTTATCTAGGAACGAGAGTATTTTGATATTAGATCTATTATGATAATATCATTAGGGTTAACTACCACATATGAGGTATTGTCCGCTTTGAAACTATAATTCATCACAATTTTATCCTTAAAAGGTGCCTCAATG